GAGAGAGAGAGAGAGAGAGAGAGAGAGAGAGAGAGAGAGAGAATTTTTTAATAGTTCCTATTCCGATCTGTCCTGGTGTTGTGCCTCTAGGTTTTAAAAGGCTATGACAATGAAAGCACACATTTTGGGAGATCCTACCAAGCCCAAAAGGCTACAACTGTGGGTGCAGCAGCATCTGACTTGAATGTACTCTCTCCCTCCCTGGGTGTGTGTATAGTGCCATCCTCTTCCCTTTGTATTCTACGTCCTTGAGTTGGATTAATCTAAATAATATGAATTACCATTATAAAATAAAATAACCCTCTTAAAAAAAGAAAACAGCCACTTACCAACAGTTCCTCTTGAAGTTGATGGTCAACAGAACAAACATACAGCTGAAGTGACTTTAATTTTAAGACACTTGAATGAGCAGGGATTTGGAAAACTTCATTAAATATTAATGGAGCTTGAAATTCCAGAGCTTTGGAGCAGTAAGTGTTTGGTGTGCCTGAGTCAAGAGTTGGCAAATAGACTCTAATGTGTCTGGAAGCAAATTAAAAATACAGTAAATTTTGAATAGATATTAAACAAATAGTCATTAGGTAAGATTGTACAACCTATACACCTCTTTGTGTGTGTACATATATACACACATACACATTTCTAATCAATAACAATGACATATGATAATCATTTAAGATCATTTGAACCCCAATAATGGCCAAGGCCTAACCAACCACAACATAACAGATATGCTTTTTCTTTATTCTCTGAGTGAACTAAGAATGGCCCTTCCTGTGTCAACAGCTGAAGCTGACCAAAAGCATTCTTCTGTTTATGACCACTAAGGACCCTGACACTACCTTGAATGGTGGGACTTTTCTTATCTATGTTAAACACAGATATCCTGAATCTATAATTTCAATTGACACTTTGGCATTCTCCTATTTTATTATATTTACAAACTATTCAATTAAGAAAATTCCTTTCTCATGCTATGGTTAATTATTCTTTTTGTATCTCACAGTACCTACCACTATATTTGCTAATAATAGGAGTTCTCTCTCTCTCTCTCTCTCTCTCTCTCTCTCTCTCTCTCTCTCTCTCCACACACATCATGTGCACGCACACACATATCTATATGTCTCTGTGTGTGTGTATGGGGGTGAAGCAATCAGGATTAAGGGACTTGCTCAAGGTCACATAGCTAGTGTCTGAGGCTGGATTTGAACTCAGATTCTCCTGACTCCAGGGTCGGTATTCTATTCACTGCACCACCTAACTGCCCCAGTAGATGTTTTTAAAATTTAATTTTATGTAAGACTTTTTCACAGGTCTTCAGTAACTTTTTAAAAATCTTCTGCCAAATGAAAGTAGTATTCAGCTTTGATGTTTTATATAGAAACACAGAATTTTAGAGCTAGTAGAGGTCTTAGAAATTATGTAGTCAAATCCCTTCATTTTACAGATGAGGAAACTGAGGTGGTGAGAAGTAAATTGACTGCTCATGGATTATTAATGGTAGAGCTGGGAGTAGAAGCTTTCTCTCCTTATTCTCGATCCAGTGCTCTTTACACTGTCCCAAACTACTTTTCTTACCGTACAATAACTATGGTGTTATCTATTACTATGTGTCACCTGAAAGCTGGTTAAAGAGGCAACAAGCTAGGTGATAATTAAATTCATATTTTTATTCCCTTAAGCTAGTGACATGTACGCGGAGCCAGAGCTTTAACTCTGACTGCATCAAGCAATTTTAAGAGGACATTTAAACTCTGGCTTAGGATGTCTATGTTACTCAGATTTATGGAGAGAGAAAGAGAGAGAGAGAGAGAACTCCTACTATTAGCAAATATAGTGGTAGGTACTGTGAGATACAAAGACAAAGAAGAATTAGTTCCTGTCTCAGGATGATTACATTCTATTGGGAGATACATCCAAAACAGAAACAAGTTTAACCATTTGAAGTTAGGTTAAGGTAAGAAGTTAAAATAACAAAAAAAGAGATAGTCAACAAAGAGTGCTAAAAATACTTGATGAGGGAAGATAATAATAATAGCTATTGGGATCCAGGGTAGTTTCATAGAAGTACTATCTCAGCTGACCCTTGAAGGTTAATGAAAAATACAGGAAGCATAAATGAGGGAGGTCCTGTGAGGATACAGGCAAAGTTCAGGAATTGTAAATAATTAAGTCTCGTTAGTATATATTTCAAATAAGGTGAAATAAGTCTGGAAACCAAAATATGGAGGGTTTTGAATGTCACATTAAGGAGTCTATACTTTAAAAAATACAACTACAATAAAAATTCACTAATTCAGATTACAGAATGACTCATGGAGAAAGTTTACACTTTACTATTTTTATAGTTAGCAAAAGTAAATTAGTGTAGATGGAATCACAAAGGGAATATTTATCTACCTTTAAAAAACTTGCTTATAACCCTTTATGAAGACTCATTTATAAATAATTTTATAAGCATAGTGTAATACTGTTTAATCTCTGTTTTTTCTTGTTTGTTTTTTTTTTTAGGCAACTGGGGTTAAGTGACTTGCCCAGAGTCACACCCAGACACAGCCGGTCTGAGGCTGAATTTGAACTCAGGTCCTCCTGACTTCAGGGTTGGTGCTCTATCTACTGCACCACCTAGCTGCCCCATTAATCTCTGGTTTTTAAATTATGATGTATAAGAGAGCTTGGAAAGAACTAAATGCTTTTAATCCTGAAGTGGCTTCTTGGCATCTCTCATTTCTATGTCCACAGACTATAGTAACTTCCTCCTCCCTCAGCCCCCTCCCCAGCCCCCAAGGCACATGCTCTTCAACACCAGAGGAACAGGAAGGGTGCAAGGTTAGGGGCAGTATACCAGCACCTTCTTTTTCTTCAAATGGCAATTCTTTGTTAAACTAGTGTATGTTAATGAAAGTACTAAAGAGTAATAAAATTTCAGGATTAAATGTATAAAGTCTTAATGGCAAAGCTGATTTCATTTTTGTCTTCCTACTCCCAGAGCCTAGCAAAGTGTAGGTGCTAAATAAATACTTCTTGATAGATTAAGCCTTAAAAATATTTCACATTTCATATTGGTCATTTCTCACTAGTCATTTCAAATTAGTGAGTTTCTACAGAATTTCTATTTCAAGAGTTGCTTTATATCCCACAAATTTAGATAGCATGAGTATGTGTTAAAATAAGAATTCATTCAAGTTGTTCCTTGAATTACTATTTGTCTGTTTTTCACCTAAAATATGTAGATAACTTATATCTCTCTTTACTAAAGGTTTGTCCCTATCTTGGTATGGTGGTGATCACCATTCTTTAAGACAGAGGTGTCAAACTCACATCCCAAGTGAGGCTGAACCAGATTAAAATGTTATTGGGAAATGTTTAACAAAACAAATAAAATACAATGTAACATAGATAATGCTAATTTGTGGTTTTCTCCAGATCCATTTCTATTTGAGTTTGACACTACTGCTCTAAGCTTATGCCTATAGGGAAGGCAGTCTCTAGAAAGGTCTATCAAACTGGTATGGTCCAGCCTAGTTCTCTTTCAAGAGGCAGACTACCACAGGTGATATATTATTTTGGCTATAGCATTTCAAGAACTTGTCATCAGGCATGGAAGAAAAGACTGCCTTCTGGACTAAGAAGGGAGGGCATACACTAAGGAAAACCCCATGTCTTTGAAATTTGAAGAGCTGAAGTTGAATTAGAGTGTTCACTTACATCTTGCAGCCTTCTTTCACAATCAGCCCAGCAAAATTCTTGAGTTGGAGGACATTCACTAGGAGACAATCATTTCCTCTATCATGCCTAGAAAATAAAACAGGGAATTCACTGACATCAAACTACCTGGATAAAAAGGTTGGGAGTGGGGAGAGGAAAGGGTCAAAACTCAACTTGAACTGTAGCAATGAGAATAGAAGGATATGTATGTATGTGTGTATGAATGTATACACATACACAAACATGGTATTATTCCTTTGCAACTTACACAAAACTGCTTTGTCCTATTACTGGACATGAGTTCTGCCATTATTCTGTCAGTTATCCCATAGCTACCCCTTAAAGGAAAAAATTGCTGCTGGAAACCAAAAAAGGATTATACTGTGGTCCTCTGATAACACAAATTGAGGAATGAAGGCAAATAGGCTTCGACATCTATGCAATTCCCCCCAATCCTGCAGCAGATGAGAATGGTTATCTCAACTCCCAACAAAGATACATAATAATTTTTACAGACAATAAATATGCACATAGGGCTTTTTTTTTGCACCTGTCCCATTAGGACCCAGCTATCCTAACCTCCACTTAATATACTGGCTTGTTTCCACTTTCCACTTCTTCATAATGGTGCCTACAGCAAATACTTAATAAAAACTTGTTGAAAGCTCAGACCCAAAGAGGGAATATGAGAAGGCATGCCTCCTCAAATCTTTGGCAGTGGAGTAACAGGGAAAGGGGATCTAGCTACCATGTCCATAGTACCAGCAAAGAAGGGAACAAATTTAGTCTGAACTCACAAAAATCCAACATGTATCTGGGGCTCTTCATTGGTGGTGGTATCACTGTATGCAGGCTCCTCAATATCCTCATTCCTGTTGACAATTGGGAAAAGGACAAGGTTATTATCCACTTAGATTTCTTCTAAGGGAATTAAACCGATCAGCTCTTTAAATTTTGGTGATTCTCTTCTTATCAGAAAATGTTGCTTTTGGAATGGACCTGAGTTTCATTTGAAGAAAGAACTTCCAGTGAAGAAATGCCACCCACCAACATAGATCAGCATCTTTTCTACAACTTAAATGCCTTAGAGAGTGGCATTTCATGACCACAGAGTCTGTGTATACCAGAGATGGACCTTGATCTTCCCGTTTCTGAAGTCTTCTCTCCCTATCCAAATGATATGCGCATGCACACACAAGCACATACATGCACGTGTAGTGGCTGAATATACACACATGTCCAGTACATACTTATATATGTACATGTATACACATGTGTATATATGCACATATATTTATACACATATATGGATGTATGCAGTATGTTTTGCTAACCTTAAAGCACTATATAAATGCTAGCTATTATTATCATTATCATTATTATACTATCTCTTAGAGATGTTTTTAGTAACTGAATAGGAAACTAATTGAGTAAATGCTTATCCATTACAGAACCTATAGTTCAGATGCCTCCAAAATTCAACTTTTTTCAGAAAGCATCTTTTCTCCATTTTCTTAAAACTCAACTATATAGAAAATACAGTTAGAAAGAACTAGTTCCATGAGTCAAAATAATTTGTTCAGTGTCTTAGCAAAATAAGCCATAGAATGACACAGAGAGCATGGAAACCAAAAGAATCATGGGATCACAAATATAGAGCTGAAAGATGCCTTATAGGTCTTCTAGTCCAAAGTTCTCGTTTTAACAGATGAAGAAAGTGAGGTCCAGGGATATTAAGTAACATGTCCAACAATATACATATAGTAAATGGCAGAACTGAGGTTAGAAAATCAAATGCTCTGATTTCAAATCCAGTACTCTTCCCATTGTACCAAACTGCCTCTCAATTCAGACTTTGAAACAACAAATCAGTATGAAAAACAGAAATTTTCTTCCCCTTATTTGTACTGGTTTTATATATGCTAATTAAGGAATCATAATAACCTATTTTCTTTTGCCTACACTGCTGCTTTCATTACTAAAGGTAGCTCTCCAGGTAGGAAATTCTCATAATACCAATGCAGTTTGGCAACTGCATTGGGAATTTACAATCTTAGAGAGTTGCCAAGACTTAAGTGACTTCCCCAAAGTCACTCAGCTATAGGTGTCTGGTGTAGGACTTGAACCTAGACCTTCTTAATTAAGGTTCATGGAACATTTCATGGCCATTATTTCATTTGAGTAAATAATGTATTAAAGAGACTGTAAACTACTCACCAAATATCAGGTTAAAATTTAAGTGTTCTTAAAGAGAACACTATTGATTTTTAAGTGTTTGAAATGGGAGTCAGTCAATTGTATACTTATGTGCATTTCTAAGAATGTGAAACTATTGAAATATCTTTACAGATGCCTAAAGGTATAACTGACTTCCACTACTCAAGCTTTTCAATGGAGTAGCTAATAAATAATTAAATGGACTAATAGTTTTGACTCTTCTATCTGCCACATGCCTTTAGAGGAAACAACTTACTAAGAGCAGCTGAGTGCTGCTTGCAACAGTACTGGGTCTGAGGACTGACCCCAGCATTTACTTTGTGACAGCAGGTAAGTCACTTGCCCTCTCTGCCTCTGTTTCCTAGTCTATTAAATATATCCAATAAATATTAATTAAATTATTATCAATAAATATCAATTAAATTATTAACTATATTATTAACTGTGATGTTTATTCATATTAAATTTAAAAAATAAAAATAAAACAAAATTAAGCAAATATTAAATGAATAAATTATTAAATATAAAATTTATTACTGTTAACTGTGATATTTATTAATGTTAAATTAATTTAAATAATAAAATAAATTTAAATAAAAATTAAATAAATTAATACCATCAGTATTAAAATTAAATAGTTGTTAATGTTAAATAAAATTAAAATACATTAATATTAAATTGATATTAAGTCTTAATATTAAATTAAATTAATAATTATACTTGAACTATCTACCTAACAGGGTTGTTTTGAGGAAAACATGCCAAGTGCCTCTCCCTAGTGGAAGATAAACTTGCTGAGTTCAAAGACTTTTATTTTTCTGTATTCTGAGAATCTAGCACAGTTCCTGGTATAGATTAAATACTTAACAAATGACACATAAGTGACCAGATTTGAGTCAATCATAGAGATGATATGAATCTACAAAAACTGCTTTTGAAGAAAGGCTACTGAGATTGCAAGTTACTGTTGACCCAAGTTATCTGACTGTCTTCCCAGAGTAAATTGAGTAGATAATTATTCAAGTTTCAATTGGTGGACTGGGATTCAGAAGATCTGAGCTTTAGTCTTTCCTCAGCTACTATCTGGTGATAAGACCGTGGGCAAGTCAATTAACCTCTCCAAGTTTCAGTTTCCTCATCTATAATAGGAAGAGGTTGGATTAGGGTAGTGTCCTTCCAACTATTAAATGGTATGATTCTCCCCTTGGCCTAACATGTATAGATATAGACAGTATGAAAATCTGTTGTAAGTCTACCACTTATATTTTAATTAAGTTCAGTCATAAAATTAGAGATTGAAAAGAAAGAAAGAAAAAACAAGACTACTGGGCTGCTTCATCTCTCTAAATAGGAAATGGCAGTCTCTGGAGTATGTGGAACCAAAGATGACTCTTCCATTTTTTTTTTTTTTCAAAATACATAGGACTTTTAAGAATCAAGATTAAAAATTACCCTAAAATTAAAAAATAGAAAGTTACATCAGGATCAATGTTTCTTTTAAGGAATACTGTCCATGGAGGTTTTACTCTTTTAAGAAAAAAGCCACAGCTGGTTGGTGCAGTGGACAGAGCATCGGACACCCAGAGTCAGAGAGACCCCGAGTTCAAATATGACTTCACACATTTACTAGTTCTATCACCCTGAGCAAGGTACTTAATCTCTCTCAGCCTCATCTGTAAAAGAGGGATAATAAGAGCACCTTGCTCCCAGGGTTGCTGTAAGGATAAAATGCAATAATGTTCATAAAGTGCTTTGCAAATCTTACAGCAAAATATAAATGCTAGCTTTAAACAAACTAACAGACAAACAAACAAACAAAACCCCTGAAGAGGCCAGAGCAGAGTATAATTAAAGACTTGATCTAGACTAAGAATAGAATAGAATTAAGAATAGAAAGGAAGGTATGTAAAAGGTGCCCATTACTAGACACTATACTACTATAGCAACCAAAATAGATCTGTTTCACCTTTAAATACTCATTTTAAACAAACTGCTAGTGTGGCTATGCACACTCTCCTTTTATCTGTTCTCATGTCCATTACCAAATATACAATTCAGTGGATGCAAATAAGTACTAGCTCTTCATTGATCATTTGTTCTGAATTTTTGCAAAATAGATTTTTGCTTTCTGCTTTGAAGAAGATACTTTATATGAAGTAACTAAAATTGGACATTTTTTCATATAAGAAGTTCATTTACAAAAAAATTAGAGCTGATACCTAATAGTGATGATGGTAACAAAAACAACAAATCACATTTACTTACTTGCTTTTAAGGTTTAGAAAGTGCTTTCATCAAGTAGGTAGTACATACTACCCTATATTGGGGTGGGGAACTTGTGGCCCTGAGGCCACATGTTGCCTTCTAGGTCCTCAAGTGTGGCCCTTTGACTGAATTTAAACTTCAGACAACAAATACCCTTAATAAAGGGATTTGTTCTGTAAAACTTGGACTCAATCAAAAGGTTGCCCCCAAGGCCTCAGGTTCCCCACCTCTGCCCTATATTGTACACTTATGTCAATTACATACAACAATGTTGCCCTCCATTGTATTCTTAAATGTAACCATTTAAATTTAAATTATTAAATTAATTAAATTAAATATCAAATATTTATCAAATATCAATTAAATTAAATATCAAATAAACCCTCTAAGAAGCTAGTATAGTGTCATATCCCCAGTGTATATTCACCCATAAACTAACTAATCATAATAATTACTCCAATGTTATCACATAATTGAAATTAATTGTCAATTACTGGATTTAGAGATAGAAGGACCTAGATTCAAATCTTGTGTATGATTAACTTTTTAGATATGTGACCCTAGACAAATCCCTTAACTTCCCTAAACCTCAGTTTCCTTATCCATAAAATGGGAATAATAACAATTTTACTACTTACCTCAAAGAGTTGCTAGTGCTTTACAAACTTTACAGCATTATATAAATGTGAAGAGAAGAACAGGTCTGCCACTGTTGCTATCATCATCATCATCATCATCACTCTTTTCTATTATTCATGTACATGCTGTCTTTCCCATTAGATGTAAGTTCTTTGAGGGCATGGACTACTTTTGGTTTTTCTTTGCATACCCTGCACTAAGTATAACATCTGGCACATAATAACTTAATAAATGTTTATTGATTGATTGTATTGAGGAGAGTGAGCCAGAAACTGATAAAGGGGACATAGCTTTAGTAAAGGTTATAGATAATGAGGAAGGAAAGAATATCTACCCTATACTCATTTTTTTCAGGCTCCTTGCTACAAAACGTGGTTACCTTTTACACAGCAGGGTCCTTGGCAATAGCTTCCTGTCTAGCTTTGAAAAAATATTTTCATGACTTCTCAGAAAGAATGGTGGTTTGAACTGTTTAAAATAGACATTTATCACCAGTTTCTTCTATTTTCCATTTTCACTGTTTATCTAATTTAAAATTCTTCTAATTTTCCTTACTTTATCCAAATATTCATTTAATTATTTGTTTTTACTTCACTTCATCTTTATTAGGAATAAAAATAATAACAACAACAATATTTCCTTTTTGTGTAACACTATAATTACAAAGTTTTTATAATTATAATGTATATATCACTGTATCTGATCCTCAAAATAATTCTGTGATAAAATTAAAGCAAATATTATTATCTCCATTCTAGAGCTGAAAAAACTGAGGCTCAAACATTAAGGGACATACACAAAGTCACAGAGCCTATAGCTGGAAGGGCAGGAACTTTTGACTCCTCACCAAATGATCTGTCCACTTTTACTATATTCTAAACCATATGCAGTATTCAGAGCAAAGTTTAAGCTAAAAATATAAATTTAAAAATATATCTAATAAGTGAATATCCTGGAGCCAACAAAAGGGATTTTTCAATGACTTTCAAAGAAACTCTTGATATTGGCAAAGGGTACAGAACCCAATTAAACATAGTGTGACAAAAACTGGAGAAATATAAAGAAAGTTTTTGGATATTTAAAAGTAACTGTAATTAGTCAATTAGAAAATAATAAGATAAAAGCAGGAACACAAATTATAGCTGATCAATATTCTCCTTTATGTATGAACATCTGAATTAGACTGATTTTCCCCTCATAGAACAAGGGGAGCATAAAAATATGCCTACTGGCATGGGAGTCAGTGACTAAATATTTATTTTAAATAATAAATGTATGATATACAATATATTTATTATAAGTAATAAATGCTTATTGAATGACTAACTCACTGAATCAGGGTGAGGGCAGAAATCTTCCCTGCAGGGAAATAGGTGGGTGATGGGAAAAGACCAACCCACTACCACCCCCATAAACCCACAAAGGAATTTCCTCTTAGGGTTTACCACAACCCAAATTCAGGGAAATAGAGAATATAAATGTTTTAATACTGTAAATCCAAGTGTTCTACACCATAAAGGAATCAGTATAATCATTTGGTTTAGGATCTAAAGAGAACAATGTATGTCAGTAAATCATCTATGGGAAAAAGGATTAAAATCATATAGCTAACCTTTTGGTTAAAGGTTCAAATACACCACTGTCACTAGCCAGTGAATAATCAGAGAGACATGCAGAAACCCGTCTGGCCCTCCTCTCTGATCTCCTAGCACTGTCTTCTCTTAGAGTAACTGCTGTAGAGAAAAGAAATAAACAGTTAGAAGGTAAGAAACTTTGACATCTGTAGGAAGGATGCTAATAAGTTGATGCTACTATTAATGAAAATATAACATTAAATTTTTTAGCTATGACTATTTTGATCTATCTTTTAAAAACATACAGAGTGAGGTCCAGTTCCTTCTTCTGGAAAATTGCAGAAAGGAACTTTATAATTATTTCTTTTCATGGCTAAAAATAACCAGACCTCTTTAGAATCTCTGAAAAAAATATTTAAAAAGAAAAAATCACTATTTGAAATTGTTGATACAATTTTTCCCCCATTAACACAGAACACTGAGAAATGTTACTATTTGAAATCACTGACAAAAAACTTTTTCTCCCATTAACCAATATGTGCAACAATAGATTAAAATAACGTTGGGTCCAAGGGTAGATTATACATAGGTATTTAAGAATGGGCATTTAAAAAATTACTGGCATAGGACCAATAAAATTTTATTTTATAAAAAAATTTAGAGGAATCACAATAATTATGTCTATGAAAGGAACCATGTACTTTTTTTTTTTTTTGGAGAAAAGACTGCTTTTCATTGCCTCCTAGGCAATCAAGGAATGAAATAGATCTATATAACAATGATCAGATAAGACCGGAGTGAAAATTTTAGTTGGTCTCATTTTCTGTAACTCATCTTCTATTCAACCAAACCTATATGATAAAAGCCACCCAAAATGTGCAAAGTATCAAGTCTGCACTCAACAAGTCGGACTAATAATGAAAATACTCTAATATCATGTCATGGAATTGAGGTTACAAATATAAATCTCATTTCATTAACTATGCTAAAATGAAGATTTCCAACCAATCCGACAGCATTAATACAAACACTACTTCTTTCTCACTGTTATCCCTGCAAAAGATAATGCAGAAATCAAAATAAAGGAAGAATTCTCAAAGAAACCCCTGGCAGGGTCACTAGAGCCGCATGACCACAAACGTTAAATGAAAGAGGTACTGTCAACAGTTGCCCTTGGTCAGAAAAAACAACATGGAAGAAACCACTCAACATCCCAAAACATCTGCTCTTGGGTTTCAACGCAATGAAGTTAACCATAGGGAGGAAAGGACATAAAGTGAGGACAAGAAATCTTAGAGCTACATTTACTTTTTACATCTCTTACCTTTAAAAATAAAAAAAATATATTAGTTCTTTTGACCATTTAAATATACACACACTCCAAGGGGCATAAAAACACTTGAATAAAAGGAAGGAGAAACATAGTAAAAAGTATATCATGCATAAGGTTTACAGTCCAAGTGTGTCATATTAGACTTATTAAATTCCTTTTAAAATTATACAAAAGAAGTTAAAGGTCTCAAAAAGTGTTTTGCAAGGATTCAATAGTCTTTACCAACCTTAAAAAACAGAGCAATTATGTATGTGATAAGCTGTAAGACTACTACAAAGTATCCTCTTCTGCATATCTTGTAATACTAGGCAACATATTTACTAGACAACAATGCAATAAAAATCTAGAAGTCAGAGGTAAAAAAAAATAATACCAAGTTGACTTACAGTGAATGTTTCTGTTGTGCAGCATGAGAAACAAGATAAAAAACAAAGAGTGAAAAGGTGTAGCTTTTCTAAGCTGACATATAAAAACAGAGCACAAATACAGTCATTAATATGTCAATAACTGGATGAGAAAACTAAAGATGCCTACTGATTCATAATTAATATAAAACTAAAAACATACAATTATATTGAAATCATGGTACATTTTAACTTAAAAATACACTGGCTATTTAAAAGTTAAAATAATGTTTGTGAAATGAAAATTTCAAAATCCAAGGATACTTCTCTCTCCTCAAAAAAAAGTCCAAATGATTGAAGTCTAGGTGAAAAAAAGTTATTTGAGAAAATACTCTTTTTTCCCCAATATTAAAACTGCCTACTATACATAGCAATATTGTTTTATAGGAATTATTAGACAATGAATATGAATTGTGTGGTTTTAGGTTAGCTGATAAACCATTCTAAGCCTCAGTTTTGTCTAGCAAAATGAGACATTTAGAGTAGATTTTTTAAAAAACCTGTTCCATTTAATGAACATTTGTTAAACCCTGGAGAGCATCCTTTTAGGTTCTGTGATGGAAGAGAAGGATGCAGAGGAGAGGAGATATTCTGATTTCTGATCTCATCTGCATACAGAATTCCTAGTATGGGAACTCCTTCCACCAATGTAGATGATGATAATAAACATTACTTATTTATTGTCATAAATGTTATAGATTTAGACTACATTCTTTCTATATGCCTCATGGGAATTACAGTTGTGTTTGGCACCTACAAACAAACCCTTATGCAATGCCTGGCCTTCAAGAGTACTCCATTTTGACTACTTTGGTATATTATTTTATTCATGGAAAGTTTCTGGCTGTGGTATATGGTAACTTACCACAAGGTGGCAGTAAGAAAACATAGTATGAGCCACCTGCATTTAGAAGTTACTATCAAAACAACTCTGCAGAATACTTGGTATCTGTCAGGGTAGCAATGATGAACAATGAGACGGTTTTAAAACTAAACCTAGGATGGATTAGTGGATGAGGGGAAAGCGTGGAGGAGGGAAGCTTGAGAGGAAAACAAAGAGTATTGGGACATATAGGATCATGTTGATTATTCTATTGGTACCTTAGTTTTTAATAGCCTTAAAAGAAAGGATGAAAAAATTAGATTAAATAATAATTATTTTAAATTTCTTTTTTATTTCCTTTAAAAATGGCAACATGTTCATATGGAAGAAGTAAATAGTAACCATTACTCTTCCCAAACTAATCCGGTCCTTAATCTGATATCTCACACACACACACACACACACACACACACACACACACACGGTATAGATGTATATTATGTATGATGTTGACATAATAGTATCATTTGTGGGCTTGCAGCATTGTTCAAAAGCTCCTAGGCAAAAATCTTCATGTCATCCTGATTCTTCTAGTCATAAAAATCTCCCACCTGCTATTACCTAATATTAAGTAATGCTAAGTAATAGCAAGAAGGCAGGAGAGCACAGATTTTAAATATAAAATTATACCACCTTCTTCTTCACCTCCCACCCCCACCAATCTTATTTATAAACACTTACTTCCACTAGTAGTTGAGACATTTGCCAGTTGTGGTCGTAGCTGTTCTCGAACTCCTTCACTGTCCCCGTGATATCCAGAATGTTGAAGTGAAGTTGTCCCCTGCGTCTCGTCATCTCCCATAGCTGAGGCTTGAGCCCTGAGTCTTTCTAGAGCTCCCATGCCTAGCATTTCAAATCCATCAGACATCTGAGCAAGAGGGGAATCCCGAGAGGCAGAAAGAAAGGGTGTATCTAATGGGGAACTCGGTGGAGATAAGGAAGACAAAGAAGAACGAGAAGACAAGGAGGCTAGGGACTGAGGTGTGTCCAGGGATCTCCTTTGCTTATTGAAGTGGGAATGTCCAGTGGACTCAGAGAATGGTGCATCTTTTCCCAGAGAATCAAAAGGAATTAGATCAAAGCGCAGATGCTGGCCATAATCTGCATCTGATTTTTCATACTGGGGAAGGCCATAGATGTCTGTGAAGCTGATGGAGCTTAAGGAACCTCTGCTGGAAGCCAGTGATCCCCGGCTGGATGCCAGTGATCCCCTGCTGCTCCCAGAGGATACTGTCAGAGTGCTGGCAGATAAACTGAAATAAGAAATAAAAATGCAAGCTTTATTACTATATTTTCACGACCTCTGCTTGCATACTGTTATATTCCACATAAAGGTATATGACCTCATCTACTCTGTAAGATGAAAAATCAATATATCTCCTATTGCTAACAGTAACTTAACATTTTAATATTGGTTGCTAATTCATGACTTTAATTTTGTGTAAAAAAACAGTATTAAATAGAGGAATAACTAATTCCTTTTCATTCTCTTTGACAGGCAGTACTTCCCTGCACATAGTAGGCATTATAAAATGTTGACGGCGTTCAATTTTTCCTCCAAAAATTAACCATCAAACAATAGGTTCAGCATCTGTTTTTTGAACTTTTAGTGTTTGCCAATTTTTTGGCTAGTCAAATTTATCTGTTGTGGTGAATCAGAGAATTCTATTTAATCATTTTGTTTTGGTAAAGGAGGCTATCATAGGAAAGAAGGACTTAGAACATGATTGTTGTTCTAGAAATCGTGTTCTTTCACACGATTGTTGTGGAAGAAAACAACGAAAATGAATCAATAAAATATTCAATTAAAAAAACTACAATTAAATTAACCTGACTCTTTGCAGCTAGCATTTTACCACCACTCTTTAGCCCAAAAGTTTGATAAGTGTTATTACTTTTCAAATAAAAAAGATGTTATCTGTTGTCATTTTATAGTTAACAACTTCTATCATGAGCCTATAGACATTAGTGTTTCCACTTTCTTTTATCAATACACTGTGATTTGATGAATTTACTTCCCAAGGAGTCATGTTTCCCTCTGATGAAAATGTGAAATAAAATAATTTCATGAAGATGATGATAAAGTGTTAAAGATAATGAAATTAAATTAGAACTATAAAATCTAGATGAAGTATGTTCCAATCACAACGGGGAGTGTGTGTGTGTGTGTGTGTGTGTGTGTGTGTGTGCGCGCGCGCGCGCGTGCAACAATGCTGTGTTTTGTTTTGCTTCTTTTTACTCACAATGCTGTCCAGGTTCCTTCCCCCACCTTGAACATTTTTTTGGTCATGTGGGAAAAAATACATACCTCAACCACAGATTTCTTGGTTTCTTAACATAAGAAGTTGAATATTTTTCATGTTTTTCATGAAGTGATTTTTATCTTATACATTTCCATCCTATTATCTCAATTAAAAAAAAAAGGCCTATGGACATGTGTACATACACAGTCACTCAGATACTCCCAGGCACTATAATTTTAAACATTATAAATCATTGGATCATACATAAATTTGCCAGCAATTTTGTTGCTCTGAAGACAAATGCATTTTTCCTTGAATTCCTTGGAACAGATAGGAATTTTTTTAGACTGTAATTTCTGCCTTTTTCCACTTAATTCTGTCCAAATGATTCATCAGTCCCTTTAAAGCCTTCAAATCCGTTCCAGTACCTATGTTCCAGTTAATGAGAATAGCTAATAGGAATTATGAACATCATTCACTTGTAATTATCAAAGAGTAAAAATGAAAAAGTAACACACAACTTTGTAAGAGTGACCTACCTTTTTAACTGAGATTGTAGGTAGGATGTTAAACGTGTAGCTTCTTCTAGCTGCATAAGCAAACAGTTTCGCTTTTCTTGAAGAAGAATCCTGAAATATAAAATGTACATATGAACATGTGTATGCATGGACATGTGCACTAACACACACTTAGAGCATCAATTGCTTGCATTCAGACTTTCAGTAATCACTAGTGGTAGCATTTGTTTTTTTTAATGAAGTAGATTTTCATACTAGAAAATTCAACTATAATTTTACAGTAAAGGCACAACATGTAGTTTTTATGTCAAAAATCTTAAAACTATGACAATGTGAGGATGTGTTTGTATACCTTAGTAGTCTTTGAAACAGCCCTGCTCTCCCTGTACATTAAGAAGAAAACATCCTCAGGTTTAAGATACTCACTTTCTTAATTTTATTTAGTACAACTACTATGAATTGATCAAAAAGTCACAGAATGTATTTTCAAATTTGTTTTTCATGCATTTAAATCTTCATCCAGAAAATAAGGGGGCTGCATTCAATGATTTCTAAAGTTTGAGTTCTAAAAATAATAATAATTATTAAAGAATATGGGATTCCATCTCTGACTCTGAGTGCTTACAAGTGGTCCTAACTGTTAACTCCTGCCCAGATATCCATTACTGAGACTCCATCTGTTTCCACCTGTAGGCATTCTAAAGATATAGTTGGGAGTCTAAAAGGGTGACATCCTTATCCAGTTAGAGTAGGTGGATTTTAATAGTGTCCCATAAGAAGTAACATTCAGAGGTTGCCAAACTATGCACAAATCTCTTCTACTGAAGGTATATAGAACTGTTAGGCAAGGGAAGAAACCAATTAGAGAGCATCCTGTAAGCAGTCAACTTCCTATCCTCACATCATAAGATATACACAGTCCAAGAATACCACATTTTTGACTGAGGGGACCACAAAATCCAGAAAAAAACATAAATAAATCACCTCTAATGTAAATCATTATTTTTTTTCTCATGATAAAAACGCGGAATTCATTGATCAAAAAAATTAAAAGTAAAAGTGTACAATATACTTAAAGTAACCATTTTCCTGGAATTAAAGTTATCCATTGTATGTTGTAAACAGGACATGATTTGATTTTATAGAATCAGTCAAATCTTGTGTCATACAAAGAGAAATGGTATGGTAAAAGTACAGTTTGCAAAAATATACAGATCTCTTTAGGTCTGAGAGACATCTGCAATGCTACTGATGCTTGTAAATCATTATTTTAACTGCTAGTCAAGAAGACACTATTTAATTATTATTTTCCATAAAAAGTGTATTGCTACTATTTGATATTAACTTAATAGTTTTCACACTTCAGGTATCATACAAAGATAGCATACAAATTATTTCTGCCTGAGAAGCAGCCCTTCTCATGAGGGACTTCTATTTAGGCAACTGTCAATTCTTGGATCAATTGAATGTTCCCTTACTCTAAGGGAAAGATTCTCATTTTAATTTTTAATTTAGAGTTTATTTAAATTATGAACTTAACAAACACGAACATTTGAATATATCAAGAATAGAAAAAGAGGGGCAGTTAAGTGGCGCAATGGATAGAGCACCGGTCCTGCAGTCAGGAGGACCTGAGTTCAAATCCGGCCTCAGACACATGATACTCACTAGCTGTGTGGGCAAGTCACTTAACCCCGATAGCCTTGCAAAAAAAAAAAAAAAATAGAAAAAGAGAACCACAAAACAATGAATCTCTATTAAGTATAGCTTGTTTGTTTAAAGAACGTGAAATTTAACTTAATAATACAACACTGTCCTGCTTATATTATTCCTTTTTGAAATTCCTTCTCTTCTGTTCATTTAAAGATGCATCATTGATGTTCTTTTCTTTGATTAATTTTTGGGCATTATTATAATTACCCATCCTCTCCCTGACTCTAATTTGCCTCTACTCCCCTAAAAAGCATTCCTCAAAGAGAAAGATTGCTAAACTTTCTTTTTATTCCCACATGCCACAAAATTTCCATTTTCATACTAGATTCATACTAGAACAGAGGCTATAACCAAAAATTTATCAGGATTTCCCGACTGTTGAACTTTAAAACAAAAAAAAATTATTCTTTGTATTCATCTCCAAATTTCTCAGCACCACAGCATGTTAAAGTTGGAAGGAACCTTGGAGATCATCTCAATCAATCTCTCACTTTCTTATCCATTATTACCTGTATTTGCTATCTCCTATACATGTCATTACCATTAAAATCTAAACTGGTTGAGAAATCTTCTATATGTATTCAATTCAGTCTTCAGAACTTTGTGTCTTCAGAACTTTAGCTCACTCTCTTCAGCTAAATTCCCCAGAAGAATTCTCGGTGATAGAATCCTACCAATCCTTTATATCAATCCTTTTAAGTCAATACTACTAAAATGTGTCATGTCTGCTTCTGCCTCCACGGGATCATCATCCAAATGCCCTCTCCTATATTCTTCCCCACCCTCCCTCTAATTCCTGGAAACTTTTTAATATACAGTGATAACTATGTCCTTTAATAGCTGTGTTACTGTGGGAAAATTAGTTACCTGAGGTCCCTCTGAGCCTGTTTCCTACCAAAATTTAGGGCACACATAATACTATAACCTGCTTTCTCTTCTTTATTACAAAGATGGAGCTGTCATTTCATCTCAAAATTCCCACCAATTCCATTCCAAGCAAACAGGTCCTCCTTGTTGGGGTGAGAATCAGCTCAATAATGGAAATTCTGACTTCCCATGGATTTCTCTTCCTTCTCAAGGTCGAAATATATCAAAGCTAATCAAAAAAATAGTAGCTTTTCTCCATATGGAAGAGAGACTGTTCTAAGAGATATCTGGACAATTGAAATCTCCCACCACTATGATTGCATGCTCCTGTGTCAGGTTTATGATCTGTTTCCCAAATTCCTTATTTGTTCTCTATCTGTGGTCTATAATATATGCTGAATGCTTGCCCACCATTGATCATCATTTACCTTCTTGATTTCTTCTTTTAGAAAACCATAACTTCTTAATATACAATGTCAGCCATATCCTTTAATAGCTGTTACTGTGGGAAAATCAATTATCTGAGGGCTTTCTGAACCTGTTTCCTCATCTGTAAAATGGGATAATGCTTATGCTCACAGGGTTAATATGAGGAAAGCATTTCCAAACAATAAAGGGCTGTTAAAATATGAGCATTATATACATTATAAAGTATATAAACATTATAAAGTCTATAAAATCACGAATTGTATAAATAAGGTAAAGCCTGACATATTTAACCAGTCACGAATCTATCTGTATTATTCTTTTTTTTTTGGCTAGGCAATGGGGTTCAGTGACTTGCCCAGGGTCACACAGCTAGTGTCAAGTGTCTGAGGCCACATTTGAACGTAGGTCCTCCTAATGCCAGGGCCGGTGGCTCTATCCACTGCGCCATCTACGGAGGGGCCCTTATCTATATTATTCTTATCCAGCTCATGTCTCTATCAGGTCTACAAGAATGAGACTGTCAAATATCTTACTGAAATCTGAGTACAGTAAATACTATGTCTATAACCTTTCCATGATTAGCTAGCCAATCCAATAACTGTCAAAAGGCAGTCCCAATTTCTAATATTTTAGAGACGTACTCCAGGATTGGCAAACTTGCTTTTGTGCGCCTGGAGCTAAGAATAGTTTTTATATCTTTAAATACAACAAAATTTTATTTATAAATGTAAAAACCATTTTTAGCTGACAAACAGTAGTTTACCAACTCTTGTTCTTCACCCTATTGTTGTCAATATTGCTACCTAGAAGATTGATATAGATAGATATATGTAAGTGGAAATATGTAAGGAGAACTAATAGTAAATGACAGAATCAGGATCTAAAAAAACTTCCACAATCTGTCATCATTGGACATAATCAGAAAAAATGTAACAGCAATACATGAGCTGTCCTATACTTAAATTAAAAAAAAAAAGAGAGAGAGCAAAGTAAGTACAGGACTGAGTAGATGTGCCTAGGTTTTTGTGAAAAAGACTTAGTGTTCAATTCATTAACAAGTTCATTATGAGTGTTGTTGTTACTATTTTACTTTTATTAAGGAGGGAAGGAAATCCAGATCTATGATGCCATCAGTGCAGGAACTCCTGGTGTGTATTTATCTTATTTTTGGGTTTGGTTTTTTTTTTTTTTTGCATGTTGTCTCCTCCATTAGATTGTCAGCTCCTTGAGATCAGTGTCTGGTTTTTTACCTTTCTTTGTATCCTCAATGCTCTGCATGGTACCTGGCACATAATAAGCATTTAGCAAATTCTAAGTGCCTGAATGGAAAAATCCCTCCACTGATGCATATAAGCAACTTGCCTACCAGCTTATAGGCTTACAGAGTTGTCCAGGTCACTGAGAAGTAAAGTGATTCGCCCAGGGTCACACTGCTAGTATGCAACCAAGGCATGCCTTGAATTCAAATTGCCCTGACTCCAACCAACCTGGCTCTCAATCCACTACACCACTGCTGTCAAACTCAAATAGAAGCCACTCCTCCGTACATAAGGATCCCTATTGCCTTACTTGTAAAGTGTGTTACCTACATTCTATTGTATTTTTACTTATTTTGTTAAATATTTCCCAATTACATTTGAATCCAGTTCTGGCTTCCCTCAGCAGTGTTTGTAGATATAATGTGTTTGACACCTCTGCACCACACCTCAGCGTCTTAATAAAAGTATAGAATCAGGTCAGCTAGGTGGCGCAGTACAAAGAGCACTGGCCCTGGAGTCAGGAGGATCTGACTTCAAATCTGGCCTCAGACACTTGACACTTACTAGCTGTGTGACACTGGGCAAGTCACTTAACCCCAAATGCCTCACAAAAAAATTTTAAATAAAAATTATATATATATATATATGTGTGTGTGTGTGTGTGTGTATTTGCATGTATACATACACATATATATGTAAATATATATGAAATCTATTAGAAATCATGATAGCACTAAACAAAGGGTGAGATTGACTATATCGAGGAAACCATGTCTAGTCATTATTTTGGAAACATACTGACAAAGTGGAGACTATTTTAGTGGCAAATGACCTAATGGTGAAGGGATTTGACAACACCATACAATATGAGGAAGAATGAAAGGAAATGGGTTATTGATTATAAAAGAAAAGCAAGATGATGGTATTAAAATATCTGAAGGACCGTCATATAGAAAAGAGATCTCATTTGTTTTGTGAGACCTTTGAACTATGACCACTGGTTAGGGGTTATAGGAAAATTGATTTTTGAGAACGTAATGAAGAACTTATTTGAATGTACAAAAATAGATAGAGGGGTCTGCTTTATGATCCAATAAATTCTCCCATTATGGAAAGTGCTCAAGAAAAGGCTGAACGATTATTTGTTTTCTGGTTACGCTAAATCTGAGGATTTAGCAGTGGGTGGGAGAACTGATTCAACCAGAGATTCTTTATAGGGTAGGGATAAGGAGCAGGGAGGGAGGTCTATGAATAGAGATTTCAGGAGTTTCATGGGGGAAAAAAAAGTATATTTTTTTCAATAAGTGGTTTCCTGTGTAATCATTTTTTTTATGAACTTAAAAACATTATTCTGAGAAGAGATCCATAGGTTTCACCATACTGCCAGAGTTGGTCTTTAACATAAAAAGCTTAAGAAACTCTTAATTTGATCATTCCATTATACCCTCTATTATTCCATGGCATTGACAGAATTTACTATTACACCTAGAGTAGGGTTCTTACTCTACAGGGGGTCTGAGAAATTGGCTTTTAAATATTTTGATAACTATATTTTAATGTAATTGGTTTCCTTTATATCCCATGTATTTTATTTTATGTACTTAAAATATTATTCCAAGAAGGGATTCAGGCTTTCAGACTGCCAAGAGGACTGTGACATAAAGAAATCAAAATGTTATTGAAATCATATATCCTCCTAACTACTTTCTAAGATTCATTAATATTAACCACTTTGCCATGGGATAAATCAGTCTATTTTTGAAATTAGAAATAGTTTTGTACACTCCAAGTGAAGTAGAATATAAAAGTGATCTTCTGGATTACTAAAATATTGTTGTTCAGTCATTTCAGACTCTTAGTGACCCCATTAGGGGTTTTCTCAGCAAAGATACTGGAGAGGTTTGCCATTTTCTTCTACAGCTGATTTTACACATGAGGAACTGAGACAAATAGGGCTAAGTGACTTGCCCAAGGTCACACAGCTAGTAAGTATCTGAGGCTACATTTGAACTCAGGTCCTCCCAGCTTCAAGGTTGGTGTACTATCTATTGCACCACCTAGCTGCCCATATTAAAACATTATATTTATGCTATTAAGGAGAAAAAAGGGGTGGCGGGGCTCATGTAAATAATTGATATATTTTATAACTGAGCAAATTATCCAAATAACTTTTCTACTCTCAACTTGATATTTTATATGCAGACAAAGTAATCATCAGAAATGGTATAATGAAATCTGACACATTAATATCCTATCTAATGAAAAGAGGAAATGTGTAGGACAAAAGATTAGGCTGATTTTTTTTAAGGCAATTTGGGGTTAAGTGACTTGCCCAGGGTCACACAGCTAGTAAGTGTCAAGAGTTTGGTCTGAGGTCGGATTTGAACTCAGGTCCTCCTGACTTCAGGGCTGGTGCTCTATCCACTGCGCCACCTAGCTGCCCCATAAGCTGATGTTTTAAGAGAAATTCTGGCTCCCATTAATGCAGAGAGCACAGGAAGCCTCTTCACAAGTCAAGGAGCACAGGTGTCAAATGAAAGCAAGAGACATGGGGCACAATTAAAACCTGATCAAATTGGCAAAATGTGATTCCTTCCATTTCAATTCCTTTATAAGATCCTGAGACTAATAACGGGAAAGTATTTTCTTAATAAATTTATTTTGAAATGTGGAACTCAAAATCTTATAAAAATGAATGTTGAAAATTATCTTTACATGTAATTGGGAAAAATATTATTCAAAAAAAGAAGAAAATTATTTTGAAAACTTTTCAACTGAAAAAGAAAAATACTTCATGACTTGAAGAAAGTCAAGACTGAATGTCAATGCAATCTTCCCCCAAACTGTTCCTTGTTAATAAGGGAATATGAGGAAATTGCAAAAGTATTCTGGCATTCTAGGCTTTCACTCATAGTATCCCATCTAGTTATACATTAGGTCACCAGAATGTACACAGCCCAAATATCTTGCCATACTCAGTCTCAGTTCTGGACTACTAATCCTCCCCTGGCCAACTGCTCAGTTTTCCACCTTTTGCTCTCCTTCAAGGAACAATAATCTAATCAATACTATCGTGAAAAGACAAAATAATTTACTTCTCTCCGATTGTGCTCACCTAGACCAAACTCTCCTGATCACTAGTTCCTCTAGGCAGAGTGGTATAGTAAAAAGAGCATTAGAGTTGGAGAAACTGGGTTTAAATCTTACCTGTGATACTTACTACCTGTATGCCCTTGGACAATTCACTGAATGGTCCTGGGCCTCTGTTTCTTCATCTATAAAATAAGGGGCTCAGACTAAATGGCTTCTGAGATTTTTTCTAGCTGTGGGTTTCTATTCTTAAGTGTGATATCTCCCAACCAGAACATAAGCTTTTAGAGATAGCCAATTAGCTAGCTAAATAAATAAATAGATACATGCTATAGATAGATTAGACAGATGATACAAGTAAATATAGATGACAGATAAATAATATAGATAAACAGATAGATGATATAGATATAGATATATTAGAGAGATGATATAGATTACATGAAATAGATGATACCAATAGATTAGATTGGTATATACAGATTAGATAGATTATATAGGTAGATTAAGCAAATAGATGATATAGATATAGATATATTAGATATATTAGATTACATGAAATAGATGATACCAATAGGTTAGATGGATATATAGACAGATTAGATAGATGATACAGACAAATATATAGACTAGTCAGATGATACAGATTATATAAACAGATAGTTGAGATAGATAAACAGACAGATGATAGATAAGATAGATAAAGCATTTACTAAGCTTACTTGCTGTGGGTCAGGAACTGTGCTGAGCCTTGGGATGCAAATATAAGCAAAAAAAGAAAGATCATCTCTGCCCTCCAGGAAGTTACATTCTAATGGAGGAAGACAACACATAAAAGGAAGCTGAACAGGGAACAGAGAAAGAAAAGAGGAATAGAAAAGTAGTAGTGGGAGTCATAGGCTGGTCTGGATTTAAAAACCAGAGATTGTCTCACTTATGCATTTGTATCCCCAGTATTTAGCACATAGTGGGTGCTTAATAAGTACTTGTTAATTAACTAGGCTTCTCATATTCTTGTACATAATGCTCAGAGCCTCAGTTTCCCCATCTGTAATATGGGGATAACAGACAGTAGCAACATAGTGTTGCGCAAAAGTTTCTGTTTGATTGTTTACAAAAGTATGCAAGGTCAAATAAAGTGAAGTGTTAGAAAGTTGCACAACTTCATGGTGCCTATCCCATTCACCCCCCCATTCCCTCCCTCCCCCAAAAAAACCCCCAGTATTAGAATCACCAAACCTTTCTGTGGCTCCATGGGCAGATGTAGCTCTAGCCCTCTGAATCTCTTCCTCTAAACGCCTTTTCTCCTCTTCCAATCGGGCAATGTCTTCTGGAGAACGTCTCTGCTGGCTGATGAGCTGCAGTTCCTGGAGAAGGGCTTCTTTTTCTTTAATGAGCTGAAGGCGGTCCCTGTCTGCCTCCGCTATTCCTGGCCAAGACTCATTATCTAGCAAGGCCAATTGCTGCTGTATATTTGCCACTCTTTAAAGAGAGGGAGAAACAAGAAAAGGAGAGTAAGTGAGGGGCAGAATAAAACAAACAAAAAAATAAAAACCATGCAATAAACCATATAAAGTATATTTGGATTTCCAGCTTTAACCGTATCATGAGATGAATTCATTTTCCTTGAGAATGGCAGGGAAGAAGACATAATGAATAGTTCTCTGGCATAATCTCTTCTACTCAAGACACAACTGGAGTTGATAACAATAGACATTTTGCTTCTTTGAGGAAATGCGCAAAAAGGCCAGTATTTCTAAACACACACTCAAAATTACATGCTCTTACAAATTAATTTAAACTGCTCTCATGATCCACTTTCTTAAAATGGGGGAAGATACGTAGTTTTAGAATGTAAACTTCCCTAGTGTAAAGGCTGTGGCTTCTATCTCTATTTTTCCTGCAATGTTTACTATGCACATATTAGATGCTTAATAAATATTTGTCAGCTTCCATAGTCTGAATTGCAAGATGACTATGGTCTACAAGTAAAATAAATGACTGAACACATAAATAAATAAATACATAAATAAATAAATAAATAAATAAATAGTTTGGGTCCAGATCTGTAATTTCATCAACACATGGCACTTCACGTAGAAATTCATTCACCTACCACCAGCAGAAGCTGCTCTTTAAATTTACATTCTTAGAGAATTGCTTGGGCTAGTAGAGATTCAGTAATTTGCCCAGGGTTATAGAACCTGAATCGGTCAAAGGCATGACTTGCACTTGGTCTTCCTGACCCCAAGACCAGCCACCAACCCTGTGACCATTACACTACTTCAGCCCTCTGTTTGTTTTTAATGTATATATTTTTTATTTTAAATAATAGTTTTCCTAATTACATGTAAAGACAATTTTAAACATTCATTTTTTATTATAAAATTTTGAGTTCCAAATTTTCTCCCTCCTTCCTCCTCTCAAAATGACAGGCAATTTGATATAGGTTATATATGTACAATCATGTAAAACATTTCCATATTAGTCATGACATATAATTTTAAAAGAGAAAGAGAGTAAAGGGTATTTAACACAGAATGTAAGCTAGAATAGTGGATAGAGAGCAAGCTTTGAGTCAGGATGATCTAGGTACAAGTACCACCTCTAATATACACTGTCTGTGTGGCCCTGGACAAGACAATTAACTTATTAATGCCCTAGATAATTCATAAAGACTCCCTCTTTCTTAGCAGGTAACAATCTGCATTGAAATAAGGAGTTTCCAAACACCTGAGCATATACAAGGAACTCACAGGTCTAGTCCAGAAAACATCCTAGAAAATTCAAGTGGTGTATGATGTGGTTTCTGTTTAATTTTATTGATATCTTATTTTTATATCACTTTCATTTCCAAATATACTCCACTGACACCCATTTAATTATTTCTTGTATGAAAGAATTTAAAAACAACAACCCAGCTCCACAAAACGACATCAGCCAAGGCATCAGCCACTTACATATATATATGTTTCACAGTCATAAGACTCTAAACTTTGAGAAAAAAGAGGGAGGAGCATTTACTCATCTCCTTTTCCTTTTCTCATCTTCTCTCCCTGGCCAAGTTCCAGGTGATTGCCATTATAAAGCATTGTTTCCCCTATTTGTCATTCTTTCAATTTGAATATTATTGCTTTCTGAAAAATCACATCATTTAAGAATTTGAAATAATCAAGTGTATGTGAAGCTCACACAGATGAAGTTGTATCTGATTCAACCTTTTCGTGTAGACTGAAATGACCTAATTTTCATTTGTTAAGAACCAACCCAAACTTTCACAAAACACATCAAACAGGGCAGAGGATCCTTTACAGGTTTCTATGTGCTGTTATTTATCCTCGGGCCAGTTTGGCATCAAGCACAGTATTTCTTCTATGATTCTTTTTCTTTTTAATGAAAGAGTCAGGGGTTGAAAATGAAATGAAAGAAATGTGGTCTGCATTATTTTAAAAGTTTAGAAGGATCTCAGTTCGATGAAAAAAGGATGGAATAGTTTATATTATAAAAGCAAACTTCACTCTCCCTCCTCTTTCACTTCTCAAAAAAACCCAACCTTTTAAAAATAAGGTCAGATTTGTTTTAGCTTCGAAGTTTAAATATGGCCAGAAGAATTTGGGGCCAAGGGGAGTGTTGGGGCACGTGTTTCCTGGCTGTCACACGGAATGTCGGATCTGAACTAAAGCAAATGCTGTATATGTTCTTGTCAATCAAACAGTCACACTTCAGCAGCTATTTCAGTAAAAGTAAGTCAATAAAAAAAATTATGCCAAAATAGAACAAAGTCTTACATTCAATGCATGGGGTGAAGAGAAACTATCAAGCAGCCAGAAAGAAAGTGGGAGACACCTTTCCCCCTAGAATTCTCTGCACTCTCTCTGGCCCCCTCACTGCCCCTCTCTACCAGTTCAGACCCCATGGGGTAGCTGACCAGACAGAGTCATATCATGGCTGTTCACACTATTTAGGTGACGTGGGAGTCCAAAACTACAAACCTTCAGGTGAGAAGGAGGATTGCTAAGCCTTGCCATTTGCTCTCCAGACCCACAGGCACTGTCATCCAGGGGTGCTAATGCACCCTGATGTCATGGTCTTATTAGAGAACAAAGGACAAACCACAAGTTAGTGCATCCTAAGGACCCCTGGGTCTTGCATTCCCCCTCGCCCCTTCCTTTCTATCTGTCTTGCAACTGAATTCTTTTATACGTGTTCTCTCCCCCAATTAGAATGTAACTTCCTTGAAAGAAGGGACTTAGCATCTCATTTTTTTCCGTGTGAATCCCTAGCACACATTTGGCACATAGTGTGCCTTTAATAGATGCTTTTTTTCCATTTGTGTCCTCATTCATTCACATCAAATAAAGAGAGAAAATTTTCAGATAAGTCATTTGCAATCTTTTTTAAGGCAGTACTGTGCTGGGCCTGAAGTTAGGAAGACCTCAGATCAAATCTAGCCTCAGACAGTTATTAGTGGTGGTAGTCACTTAACTTCTGTTTGTTTCAGTTTCCTCAACTGTAAAATGATAATAGAACCTACCTCAAAGAGTTGTTGTGACAATGAAATGAGATCATGTTTGTAAAGTGCTTAGCACAGTGCCTGGCACATAGGAGATGCTATATAAATGCTAGCTATTATTATTAGAAAAGTTACTTTAATATTTGTGATAAATTAACACTTTATAATCTGTGAGCTAATTTAGCAAAATGTGCTCTATCATAAATGTACGTGCATATATAGACACACATATACATGTATGTATATGTGTGTACGTATACATGCCTGACAGAGCAAAACAAAATATTAAAATAATCAATCAATGAAGAGCCTGTCAGTATAGCTGTTTAAGCAAGGAGTCTTCCCCTCATTGGGCAGGTAGGTACTGGGTCTGGAGTAAGGAAGAGTCATCTTCATGAGTTCAAATCTAGCCTCAGACACTTACCAGTTTAGGTAACCCTGGGCAAGTCACGTCACCCTGTCTGCCTCAGTTTCCTCATCTGTAAAATGGGAATAATAATAGCACTTATCCCCCAAAATTGTTGTGAGGATTAAATGAGATAATAATTGTAAAGCACTTCACACAGTGCTTAGCATATAGTAGGCACTATGTAAATGTTAGCTATTATTTTATTTTATTTTATTAAACATTTCCAAATTACATTTTAATTTGATTTGGACTGCAGTCCAGAGTTTTGCCAACTGTGAGTTTAACACTTTTGTTCTGACACCAGGTGCTAATCTGAACAGGTAGAGAAATTTTCTCATGGCAGATTTTCCCTCACTAGTGAAATCACAGGTCCAATCCCAAAATAAAATAAAACAAATGAGATGGAAAGTATATCATAAGCTACGCAGAAAATGTCAGTGCTTCATCAATATAAAGACTAAATGAGACTGAGTCACTATTGGTTCTACTGTCACAGAGCATAATGCACCTGAAGATTTGCAAGGAAGGTCTCTGCAGTTATTACTCAATAATGGTGGGTTGTGGAAGAGGAAAGAAGGGGAAGGAAAAAAGAAGAAAGGAGAGAATGAATATTTACATAGTGCCTACTATGTGCCAGGCACTGTACTAAGCAGTTTACAAATATTATCTCTTTTAGTCCTCACAATAATCCTTCAACATAGATGCTGTTATTATCCCCATTTTACAGGTGATGAAACTCAGGCAAAGAGAGCTTAAGTGACACTTAAGTGACAATCACCCAAACTCCAGGTGATAAACTTCTGAAGTAGTATTTTACAAATTTTAAAACACTAAATAATGCTAATGATGATGATGATGACCTGAGGTTCTAGGATGCAGAAAAATTAAAAGGGTGGGGAATGATGACATGTCACATATTCAGTGACAGATGCTTTCTTGACAGCTCCAAATCCTTCCCTATTCTCTCAGGCATAATAATTAGAAGCATCATGACTCTGCCAGTCTGGGTCCTACCAAATCCATAGGCCTATTTAAGAGATTTCTAAGTGGTTTTGAGGTAATTTAGAAACTTGCATTAGTCACAGAGGTTAATACCTATAACTAAGCTATTCAGCTTAAAGTAGATGGGTGTGACACTAACCCTAGTGAGCTAATGCTACCTCTTAAGGCAGTTAGTTCTATGCCAGGACGCAAGGTCCTTCACTGGATAACATATTGAGGTCCTGAAGGGATTAGAGATCATTTGTATAATGAAACAGATAGAGGAGTTGTATTTTATATATACTGGTTTTATTTATATTTAATTTTTCTCAGAAAAGTTTCAAGTTAATGGTCTTCTAGAAAAGTCCATTTGTTTAAAAGCACTAAGGTATGCCAAATGCTGTCACTGAGAAAAAGATTAATGACTGAGGCAACTAAATCAGGATAATGAATCTTTCAGGAGCAGTAATGGATCAAGTTCGACTAGAACATTTATCTAAATCTAGCTTCCCAAACCAAACATTATTGAGGTCACATTACTAAAACTGAAAGAAAACAAATGTCCATTATACAAGTGCA